ATGCCTCGTAAATTTCCGTAGCGATCTGTAAAAGAAGACTATGGAATGCTAGAAATATGGCATATGAATGAGTGTGACCAATTTTTTAACATACAATCTGTGTCTCTTACAGTTAGCACAGTGGGAAACTTTAAACACTTGACTTATTGAATTTCCACTAAGCATATTGTTGTTTCAACATTTCTCAAAATTTTTTTATTTTTTCTTTTCGTCTTCAGGTCATGACATGTACTCACGCACATTTTTTAAACTGCTCTATGCCTAATTCTGTCCATTTCTAACAGTGGAATGAAGGAAAGATATCTATCTATCAAGGACAGGATCTTATTTCAAACCAAACAGCATGAAATGCTGTTGATCACTGTTCTTATTGAAGTTATTGCATGAAAAGAAAACAGTCTGAGGTAAAAACTCTGAGAATTCTAGGCTGTGTGTAATCATACTGTCCTGAATACAACTATTACTATTATTGTTATTATTATTATTAGGAATTGTTCAACTAGTGCCTCACGTTTCCGTAGTAATTGTGATTTCCCCATTATCACATACTCAATATTGGGGATAACTGGGGTTCTACGAAGAGAGTGCAAAAGTGTGCTGTTTCAAGCATTTTAGGGAAAGATATTTAACTTGAAATTCACCGAAGTCATAGACTATGTTTGCATCGTTATTACATTTTGATTTTCACTAAGAATAATCTTTCATTTTTTCTATAGTTTGGTTTGTAAGGGTTTGTTATGTTTTTACGAGTTGATCACGGACTGATATCAGTTAGAGAACCATTGAAAACCAGGGAGTACTGGACAGAATTCATGAGCCATTGAATCGAGTCCCAGTGGCTGAATGGTATACGAGCCAGCTTGCCTTGTAACCGGAAGGTCCTGGGTTCAAATCCCAGTGGGTGCGTACTGCCGATGATTCCCATACTAGGATGAAACAGCAGCTGTCCAGTACTCCCTGGTTTCCAATGGTTCTCTAACTGATATCAGTCCGTAATCAACTCGTAAAAACATAATCTTCCATCTTAAAAATTTAATCCTGTGCTTTTCAAGGCGTAATTGAATTACTGGAGTACTTAGCTTTTCACCAAGCAAGACATATCGAGTTTTCCACACTTCAAATTATTATTTTAATTACTTGATTACTTTTCCTTTTGGTGAAACATACTGACACCCAGTTTTGAATAGCTTCCAATTTCTTTTTATGCATGCTTACATCAGAGGAAATGACGGAAAAATATCATATCAGTTTGCGAAAAGCGTCAGATCGAACAACATAGTGTCCAATAATATTTTGACGATTTCCCCATTACAGGAAGATTTCGCACAAAAAGTAAATCGTTTGCAATTAAAAACGCTCGTGGGAATTATCTGCTGCGCATAAACATACTTTTCAGAACAAAGCTATTCCTAATGTTATCCAAGTGTTGGCTTTCAGGGATCTGATTAGTTTCAGGATTGCATCATGAACCGACAATGGTTGGGGGACCATTGGAAGACATAGGAGTACTGAATAGCTATTTCGTTCTAGTTTAAGGCTCTTCAACAGTACGTATCCAAGATCTTCTGGTTACAAGGCAAGATCGTATAGTACTCTTGTTGTAACTGTGTGAATAATGAATCAGAGTTCATAGTTTTTTTCAATTTGAGATTTTTTATTTCTGCCTCGTTTTTAACGTTCATTTATCATTGTTTTCTATAGTTTAGTTTGTAAGGGTTAGTTATGTTTTTACGAGTTGATCACGGATTGATATCACTTAGAGAACCATTGAAAACCAGGGAGTACTGGACAGCTGCTGTTTCATCCTATTTTGGGAATCATCGGCAGTACAATGGTTGGGCTCGCGCTAAATCACAAATCGGTAGAAGTTAGAATTCATGAGCCATTGAATCGGGTCCCAGTGGCTGAATGGTACACGACCTTGCCTTGTATCCGGAAGGTCCTGGGTTCGAATCCCAGTGGGTGGGTACTGCCGATGATTCCCAAACTAGGATGATACAGCAGCTGTCCAGTACTCCCTGGTTTTCAATGGTTCTCTAACTGATATTTATCTTTGTACTAAAAATTTTTAATTTTCCCATGATTAAATTCCACATTTATTTTTGGTTGCTTAAATATTATTTAGTATTTAGATTATTGGTTTGTATAGACATCTGGATTAATTTAAATGCAGATTTTGTCATTTAGAATCAATAAGTGCTGGATAGCTATTTCATTCCAGTTTGGAACTCTTCATCAGTGCACTCCTGTGACTCTATAAGTGTTCAAAACTGGAATATTCATGTTGCGAGACGAAGGAGCGGTGGCACATAGCTTTGGACTCTCGCCGACCATGCACGTGGTCCGGGGTTAGATCCCCTGCCGACGCACACCTGATATCTATGGTCTGCCTGCAAAGTTTGGGTTACAGACATCACATGCTGAAAATTCCATACCTGTACCAAAAAATACGGCCTGGAATCAAGCTGTAATCAAAATAAAAATAAGCTCTCTAACGGTAGCGCTATGTGACCTATTGAAGAGCCCAAAATTCAGACTAAACACCCATGAACTACCCCGTGGTTTTCTAACTAGAGTCAGTTTGTGTTTAATCACAGTTATTTGATTTGCAAGGATGTTTTTGTCAGTGCCATTCATTCTCTGTCTATCCGGTTAATTTATTTTTCTTTCGATACCAGTCAGCTTCATAGTAAATAATCACCAAAAGCACTTCTCTGCATATCTTTAGTTTTGATGTCAATGTTTGGTGTTAGTAATTCTCTAGCCCTTCTGGTTGTCAGAAACCACGTTTATCCAATAACCCTCCCGTGTTTCTCGGTAACATATCAGTTACTTCACTTGAGTGTATAAACTTTTGAAATTAAATACATAGCTTGCTCAGACTTTTGGTGAAACGGATGTTTACCCACGTTTTTTCTCTTGGCACCTTCTTATTATGAGTTGCACATAGGCTGATTTAATTCCAACCCTTGAAAGCCTGAAAATGTAGCTGATGCTTTCTAGCTGATATTTTGGCCTGATATAACCTATTTGTGACTACGCGATGTTTTTATTGCAATCCGTAATTAATGCAAGTAAAGCGAGCATTATTCTAAAGTAGGTGTAGGGACCTTAACCTAAATCCTGACTTTTGAGACCGATGTCAAACCAAGGCTTCTCAAAAATTCAGTGATTTGGTCCGTCACCAGAAGTATTTCCAGCCGGTTGTTACGGTCTCGGTACTGAAAAAACGATGTAGGAAAGTTGTGTGAGTACCTTGATATGATTATGAGCAATAGTTTGTGCTCGAAACATCATCAGTAAATAATACTGTAAGACACTATGTGACTTTATTAGAATGGAATTATACTCTACCACAGTGCCGAAGTTTTATCCCTACATTAAAAACAAGTGTTTGACCAGAAAGGATAAACAGCAAGAGACTCTGTTAGCGGTTCATCCAGCAACCTTCTGGCCAGCATATATAGAAAAGAAAGCGGAGATGGGCTAGACAAACGATGAAGTGCTTACCAAGTGACACTACATGTCAGGCAAACGCTCAAATGGAACCTGAATTGAAAGTGATAGGTTGGGTGTTTGGGAGTGACATGAAGAATATCACGCGAAGGATAAATAAAAACATGTTGATAGGCTCACGGCAAGCTGTCAGTGATGGCAGGGAACCGAGCCGAATGGAAAAGTGCTGTTTAGATTCAGTGTTCCACTCCGAATGCAAGGGATGAACAGTTGACTATTTTTAATTGTTCTCTTGGATGCCAAAAAAAGCAAAATGCAGAAAAACTAAATGTAACGAAGGAGGAACTAAAAGCACTCCAAGACATAAAAGCAGACAGATCCATTGTCATTACTCAAGCAGACAAGGGAAACACAACAGTAATACTTAACAAAACGACATATAATGAAAAGATGAATGAACATCTACAATCTGGACCCTATACCCTAATGACGAAGTCAGCTGAAACAATCACAAACAAAACAATAAAAGAAACAGTAAAGGTAGTCAGACAAATGAAAGAAGTAATTGGTAAGTCAAATGGTTTTAAATTATGCCAAAATCATGCAATATACCTAGAATATAAGGCAAGATGAAATTGCATAAAGAGGGATATCCAATAAGACCGATTGTAGATTTTAGAAACACACCAACGTATATTCTATCAAGATTTCTCCCTGCAGTACTAAGACCAAAAAGAGACAACTCAAAAGCTGGAATAGTAGATTCATTTGAATTAGCGAAGCGACTAAAAGCAACTAAAATAGAGGAAGAGGAAATACTAGTCAGCTTTGATGTAAACAGTCTGTATTCGAAAATACCCATTCGAATGACCATGAATGCACTGAAAGAGAAACTAAAAGAAGATAATGGCCTAAAAGACAGAACACAGTTATCCGTAGAAGAGATAATAAAAAGGGTGGAATTCTGTCTGACAACAACATATTTCACATTCGAAGGGAAAATATACCAACAAAATGAAGGAGTAGCCATGAGATCGCCTATCTCACCAATAATAGCTGACATATTCATGGATTATTGGGAAGAGAATGCCCTTAAACCATTCAGGTCATCACTAAAATGTTGGTGGAGATATATAGACGACACACTAGTAATAGTGAAAAAAACGATATTGAGAAGCTCTTCTCACACATAAACAGCCATGTCGACTCAATAAAATTCACTATGGAAGTAGAGAATGAAATTGGGGAACTACCTATGTTAGATTGCAAAATACAAAGAATAACAGATGGTAGCATTAAAACGACGCTATATAGAAAAACCACACACTCTGGAAGATTCCTTGATTATCACTCAGCTCATCCACTCACGGTGAAACGAGGATTAATACAAGGTCTTGCAGATAGAATACGTAGACTTACAACAACGCCAGAGGACCAGTGTAAAGAAATAAACGTCCTATTCAAAATGCTACTCGAAAACAACTACCCAAAAGAATTTATAAAAGATAATATAAAAAAAGAGGGTAAAACCGGAGAATAACAAGATGGAAGAATGCAAAAAAACAGTCACAATACCATATAAAAACGGTACATCAGAGGCAATTCAAAGAAACCTCAAAAATATCGGCATTCACACAACTTTTAAACCGACAAATCTAATCAAAAATAAAATAAATCAACTGAAAGATCCCATAAAAATGATGGATAAAAACAACTTGATTTACAAAATATCTTGTGCTGACTGTCCGACTAAATATGTGGGGCAAACGTCCAGATCACTCAAAATAAGAGTGAATGAACATAAACGCCTAACCAAAGGTCAACCAACAGGAACACAAGCCTTCAAAAATCTTGAAAAAATTCATCGATAGCTGCACATGCATGGGAAAAGAACCACAATATCGATTGGAACAATGTGTGTATTCTAAAAACTAACATGAACAAATGGAAAGAAAGACTTATAACAGAATCGATATTCATTAAAGTCACACCGGATACATGTAACAAGGGTGACTCAGTACAACTATCAACAACTTGGAATGTAATTCTGAATACAAAAACATGAATGAACGTGGAATATAACTCAAATACAAAAAACATGAATGAGCAAAAATAATGAACTATATATATATATATGAGTACAAATCATAAATGTGTGAACAAAACAATTCCAACAGTGGTGTGAACACGGGCAGTAATTTTGCTCGAAATATTACCAATAACAAAACTTATCATTGTGTGTAAACTATTGAAATATAATTATACTTTATTTGATCTAATCCACAATGCTCAAACTTTTTACTGATATTGATACATAGAGCTTCAGCAGCCCATCTTGATTTTGCTCTGTCCTCTTCAGTATCTTTTATCTAGCTCCACTCTCATACCGTCGCTTTAAATTTGGAATCCATTTGAGGGATGTATAATAATAATATAAAAATTTGCTTGTTTACACCGGTGAGTTATATCAATCTGAAATAGCCAGCACGCTTCATTTTCAGATGAAAGATATGGAAAGATAGATGAGATTTTGTTTTCTCTCCATACACTCGGTGCACGAAACATTTACATAAATCAGCTATTTATAAGGACATAAATGGGGAACGTATGGGAATTGTTTTTTTTTTCATCAAAAGAAGGAGGAAGTAGACGGTTGTCGCGACAAAAATCTTAACTTTTTTGTTATACAGAGTAATTCAGAAACAGATGTTGAAATGAATAGAACATTCGAAAACAGATTTTCAGTAGTCTCACAGGGTTAATAGGGATTAAGAATAAAAACGTAAGCATGTGACTGAAAGCATAGGTTTTAATGTGAAAGTAAATGACTTATCTGAAATCATTGAACTTTCTTTGATGCTAATCAAAGAAGCGGGCATAAAATGGACTCACACAAAAAACTTGGAGGATCTGGACTTCGCCGATGATATATGTCTGATTTCCCACAAACTGGAAGATATGCAAGCGAAAAGCAACAAGTTGGAAGAAGAAGCATCCAGAGAAGATAGGACTTCAGGTGAACATAGAGAAAACAGAGGTGATGAAGATTCCTGGAAAGCAACAACAACAACAACAGACAACGATCAGCATAAATGGGAGGAACCTGAAAGAAACAACCTCCTTTACCTACCGACCTGGGAAGCATCGTTTCAACTACAGGCCAACGGAACTGACGAGGATATCAAAGCAGCGAGGATCGGGAAAGCAAGACAAGCTTTCACTACTCTCAAGTCTGTGTGGAGGTCAACAGCACTCAGCATCAAAAATAAGATCCGGATTTTCAACTCCAATGTGAAGTCAGTCAGTGCTACTCACTATACGGATGGATCAGAGACTTGCACTGTGCGTCATAAAGAGCATCTCAAACAAACTACAGACCTTCATTAACAGCTGTCTTTCGCTCAATACCACTCAAGATCAGATGGCCGGCCAGAAAAGATCAGCAACAGAAGGATCTCTGGCAATGAGCGAACCAACTCAGCAGGAACCGATTGTGAAACAAATAGGCAGGAAGAAATGGAGATGGATTGGCTGGCCATACTCTGAGGAAACAAACCATCAAGTGACATCACTAGACAAGCCATTGCTCGAGTGGAACCCGAATGAAAGGGAAGCGGCGAGTTGGTCGTCAGTGCAAGGGTGACTTGGAGGAGGTGATGTGAAGAGGAGATGAAAGCGTGTGGGCAGACTTGGAGCCAGGTGAAGACTCTAGCAGAGAACCGAACGCAATGGAGACGCACGGCTGAAGCCCTATGTTCCTCTAGGAATTAAAGGAAACAATAATATATAATAATAATAAAGAAGTAGTAGTCGTATTTTCGCTTTCAGGCCTATGGTAATGCCCGTCGATGAAAATCTGTAAAGAATTTTAAGACTTGTGATTTCACTCCGATCGTCTCCTTTGATTTAAAGATTTGTTTATTATTTCTGTGTACTGAGCTTGGTTGTATAATGATGAGGAGTGTGTTTGTATGTAAATACGTGATATAGTCGATTCACCTACCAGCAAGATAGCCAAAAAGAGAAGAAAGAATGATCAACAGCCCGATTCTGGAGTAAATTTTTACTTCTGAACATGCAGCATCATCATAGACTACGTTCAAAGTCATACATAAAGTACGCATAAGATGTCCAAGAGGATTTCACTTGCTTCTTCTTCTGCATACGGTCGAAGCTTTACCAATCAGCTAGGTGAATCCTGAACTTTTTGTGTTCAGAACGGTTTATGCAGCCTTGATCTTAGCGCAAAATGTTTTTCTCCTGAATAGTTGTAAAATAAGCTATATGTAGTCGTCTTTATTTAATTACTTTTGTAACCGTTTCAATCCTTTATTCTCTTGATTCCGATCAGTTACCTCCAATTAATTATTCATCACTTAATTAACTAGGTGTTAACCTCCTTGATTACATATACTCTCCGAGTCAGATTGTGAATAACTGACAATAACTTCTGAACTCTGTTGTCAATTAACATTGTATATATAAACCCTCTGATCTCGACAAGTTTCCTAGTTCGTCAGTATTCCAGCCGGTACTAAGTCCGGGAAAAGAGGGAAGGTTGAGAGTGGATCTAGCGACCACAACCATCATAATCAATCCAATCAGCACAGACACTTCAAAGCATAAGAAAAGTCAAATCTCTACCTCAACTTCATCGATTTCGAAAAAGCCTTCAGCAGCGTTGGCCACGAAGTAGTTTGGGAACTACTTCAACATCAAAGAGTGTCCACCAAACCTTCATTAACCTCATTCCACAGTTACTGATAATGCACGTGTCAGGTGATTCACAACGGAAAACTCAGGGAAGCGAATACAGGGGTAAGACAAGACTGCCTATTATCACTGCCTATTACTGATGATATTCTTAATTGTGGTGTGCTGGACTATGAGTCAGAATGTGGGTGGCAAGGAGGCAGGAATACACTGGGTCGCCGATGAGAAGACTCTGGAAGATCTGGATTTCGCGGCTAGTTTGTATCTAATGGCACACAAACTCGAAGACTTACAGGTGAAAACAATAAGTCGACAGTGGTGACAGGCCGCAGAGATAGGACTCCGAATGAACATAGAGAAGACGGAGGTAATGAAAATAACCAACCAACAACAACAAGCACCAATCCTTATAGAAGGCAGGAATTTGAAAGAGGTCACTTCTTCCACTTATCTAGGATGCCAAAACCTAAATCGGAAAGGCAAGACGTTCTGGAAATCTTTCCATTCAGCATAAAGAACAGAATTCGGATTTCCAACATCAATATGAATTCAGTTCTTCACTATGGTTCAGAAAATTGGTGCGTTACTGAAAGCATTTCGAACAGGTTGCCTTTGCAGATAGTGTGTCAGGAAGAATTGAAAACAAAGGACTCGGGGAAAAACCAGTTGTTCAACAAATATGAGCGAAGAAAAGGGAGATGGCTGGGACACACACTGAGGGACCATCGGGTAACTCTGCAGACCGGGCTATCGCTTGAGTGGAACCTGAGTGGGAAACGACGAGTTGTCGCTGGTCCGAGGGTGATATAGAAGAGATCATGTGAAGAAATGCAAGCTTACTGACGATCTTGGGGTCAGCTGAGGAGGGTTGAAGACAACGGAACAAAAGACAGATGTGCTGTCGAGGCCGTATGTTCCACTCGTAACTCAGGTGAAAAATAATAAAGGTCAGCTTTCTCTTTGTGAATGAAGGCCTCTTCCTAGAATTTTGACATTGTCGAAATCGATCTTATGTCCGTTTCATATAGTGCAAATTGCTATAGCTGATCTTCTTTGGAGACCCTTCAATTCTACCTCATTTCTAGGATGACGTTTCGTGCACAGTCGATCATCATTCATTTTGACCTTCACCTGTTTTCTGCTTTCTCTCAAATAGTAGGCCTCGCATTCTGAACATTTCTTTTTATAGATGCAGTTGTTTTGTGTCATTTTAGGAAATATGCCCTTTACACTCAACAGAGCTTTCTTCAAAGAATTAGTGGGCTTGGAGCAGATTTTAACACTAAATGAAGCAAGTCCTCTTTGAAGTTTTACAGCCATGTGTTTTCGATATGGAATGGCTATCGTCAACACCCAAGATTCTTCAATCTTCCTCATTATTTTCCATTTCAACTTTCATTATTTACCTGTAGTGGACATGACAAGGTTTAATCATGAAAATAACTCAGGCTACAAATTAAATCAATACATCTTTATTCAAAACTAAAAATAGAACAGTTTTGTCTTTTTTTATTCTTCTTCAGTGTGGATTATACACATCAGTTCAGCGTTGACCAAGACAAAAGTTAAAAATAAAAATGTATCCATTTTGACACATGAAATATGGTAAATTTGTCACGCAAGTTTCTAACGACTGAAACTTTTCTCCAGCAGATGGTAAGAACTAGTACATGTCTTAGAAATATTCTTTGCTAGTATCCCAAATATGCTTTTACCTATTGATTTCCCTGTATCAGAGAAAGGAAGAGACTGATCTTCTCAACAGGTTATGTTAAAAACTGGTGTAGATTTTTAACTGTTCCTTTTAAATACAAAATTTATTCTAGTCAGTGATTGTTCATTGTGCTAATTATGGTTGTATGTGAGTGAACGTATTTTAGTGAAGCCAGGGAGCTGGCGACTATCGTTGTGATTCATCATATTTTGATTGATTATTATTATTGTTTCCTTTAATTCCTAGAGGAACATAGGGCTTCAGCCGTGCGTCTCCATTGCGTTCGGTTCTCTGCTAGAGTCTTCACCTGGCTCCAAGTCTGCCCACATGCTTTCATCTCCTCTTCACATGACCTCCTCCAAGTCACCCAC